TTCCGTACCCGCTATGGCCACTATGAGTTCGTAGTCATGCCGTTCGGACTCAGCAATGCCCCGACCGTTTTCATGGACCTTATGAATAGGGTCTTCTGTAATATCCCATTCAGTTATTAGTAATAAGTATCAGTTTATTTCCAAGATTGAGCTATTTTGAGGCTTAAAAAGTTAAAATTTTAAGTTTTTAAGTCACACGGGTCGTGTGGGTAGCCACACTGGTCGTGTGAAGTCACACTGGTCGTGTGAAAAGCCACACGGGTCGTGTGGCTCAAGGCACTAATCAAGTTTAGCTTCGTTTTTTTCACACGGGTCGTGTGACTTAAGTGACACGGGTCGTGTGAGTTCACACGGGTCGTGTGACTAAAGTGACACGGGTCGTGTGACTAGTGACACTAGTCGTGTGACCGAAAAAATTTCAGATTTTTATGATTCGAGTTTGATGCCAACTAAAGTGTATTTTGAGCAATTAAATATGCTTAGCTAAAAATTTGAAATGTTTGGTAAGGACTTGTTTAAGTGATTAATTTTTACAAGTTTAAATTGTTTAATTTGTTAATTTCTTCACTCCAAATATTTTATTCCAAAGTTTTGGTTATAAATAGAGGCTTCAAAAATCAGATTTTTACACCAAAGTAAAGTATCAAAGTTATATTGAGAGTTTAAGTGAGGAGAAGTATTTTGGAGTACAGGATTTTCAAGATATTCAAGTTCATATTCAAGTTCATATCAAGTCTTTCAAATTTTAAGTCCTTGAAGGAGGTAATTCATGCTTGTATTTGATGATTGAATCATGTTATTAGCAAAACATGATTAGTATAAGTGATTCTTGTTAGAATTTAAGTATTTGATATCATGCATGAGTTATAAGTTGAGTAATGATTTAGTTTATGTTGGCATAATAGTATCCATTTCATATTATTGATATAAGTTATCATGATGAGAAGTTGATAAAGTTATAAGTTGATAGCTTAATATGATGTGTTATTCATGTTAAGTGTAAGAGTATGAGTTTCACATTTGATGATGAGTAAATTGATAAGTTTAGCATCAAAATGTTGATAAGCATGCAATTTCATAAATTGTGCAAGTTTAGCTTTAACATGTTGAGTAAACATGTTAATATCATAATTTAATGTTATGATTGAGTTATAAGGATGAGCAAGTTTAATTGTTATAAATCATGAGTTAAGTTTGATGTTGGTAAGTTGAATATGTTGAGTTATGTATGTGAGTTTGAGTTATTTCACTTACAAGTTTTGTAAGCCAACATCTAAGTAATAAGGCATGATTTATATGAGTTGAGTTTTATCTTTGGAGGAAGTTCATCAAGAGTTTGATTTATTCAATGTATTATGATATTTGAGCTATGGTTTGTATATTAATCGGATAAGTTATCAGTTAAAGATTATTCGAGCATAGTACTTAGTATTCTTGCTTATATTTTTTATGTAGCGTGAAAAGTTCGGCTACAAGAACAACACTTTCAATTTTCAAAACAGTTTTCAAGACGAAAGGTGGGAACCCAGACTGGGTAGTACATTGAGTATAATAGCTAGATCATGTTCAAAGGTATGTATATGAGTTAAAGTTATGCTTGGGGTGGAGGCGCTGTAGCCTTAATAAACCATCCTAAGTAAGTTAAAGACTCGCCCAATCCAGACTGGGTTTTGGGGAGGCAGCCTCCAATATGTGATCACGTGAGAACCGGCAGTACGGTAGTTGCAAAGTTCAGTTAAAGTTACCGGACCAATGTCCGGGAGAAGCTTATATATACCTGTGATCATGATATTGATATTATTATTAATGTTTACTTTAGTATGAGTTTTTACGGAATACAGTTGATTAGTAGTCACGTCCCACTATTATCATTTTCAGATAACATGGTCGGGCCGAGGGTGTGAGTCAAGCTATTGTGGTGTCGGTTGTGCTTTCAGTTGTGCATTCAGTTGTGCATTCAGTTGTGAGTTTATTAAAGTTTGATTGTGAAATTCAATAAGGCATCGGTTGTAAATGCCACGCTTAAAGACTTCCGCTATGTATATTAAATTTAAACTTGTGTGATTTGAAGTTTGATAATTAAGTAAAGTTTTTGTTTATTATTATAAATGAGTTTAGTTTCACACTTGTTTAAAATGTTAAATCTATTTTATCGAGTTTAAGAAAACAGATTTTCAAAGAAGTTAAGTTTTAGTAGCATTCCGAGTTAAGAATATTTCCAAAAAGTTATAAGTATGTTTCGAAATAAGTTGCGAAAAATTTACTCTGATGAGCGGGGTGTTACAGTTGGTATCAGAGCCAAAGTCTAAACGCTCTGTATACTAAAAGTTTAAGTTTTGAGAAAGAAAGTTTCAGGAAAACCGACCGCACCACACTCACACCTCGCCGACTACCAGGTAAGTGTTGTTAAGAATTTTTATGAAATTTTAATATATGCAAATTACTAAGTCTATGCTCAATAAGAATCAGATGTCTGAATTTTATCAAAATAGATGCTCAATAAACATAGTTTCTGCCAGTATTTTTCTAAGTGTGCTAAAAGTTTATCTTTTACGATAAATTTTAGATGGCACCTCTAGCTAGAAGAGAATTGACGACCTCAGAAGTCGTTGCCCAGTTCCGGGGATTCAATGCTGAGAAATTCTCAGGGCAAGGAGATCCTCGTTTAGTCGAGGAATGGATACAGGGTTTGGAATCTATTTTCGAGATCACTGAATACACAGACAGACACCGTATTCTCTGTGCACAACTTCAGATGACTGGAGATGCAAGACTATGGTGGAACTCTTACTGGAGCATGCGTCCTGGTGAGAAGGAGCATCTCACTTGGATCCAGTTTAAGGAGATGCTAGAAGAAAAGTACTATCCAGCTCATTACCGTCCTGAGATGGAACGCCAATTCCTAGCGTTAGTCCAAGGTAATCGCTCTGTGGGCGAATACGAGCGAGAGCTTACCAGATTGGGATCTTTTGTCAGTTATCTGATAGACATGGAGGCCAAGAAAGCAAGGCGCTTCCAAGAAGGGTTACTACCAGTAATCCGTCACCATGTAGCCGGGCATTGCATTCAGACCTATGTTGAAGTTGTGACCAAGGCTCAAGAAGTGGATGCGAGTTTCAGAAGAGGAGATGGCCAAGTTCAAGTGCCGCCACTTCCTCAAGTTCAAGTCAGTTCCCCAGTGCAGCCCATGCTTGACCAACCAGCAATGAACAAACTCAAGAACAAGAGAAAGTTTAAGGGCCCTCAGAATAACCAAAGGCAGCCAGCTCCAGCTAACCGACTACCAGTTTGTGGCACGTGTGGATGTGCTCATCGTGGAGAGTGCCTAGCAGGGCAGAATGTCTGCTATAATTGCAAGAAGCCGGGGCATATGACCAAGGAATGTCCAGACAGGCAGCAGCCTCAGCCTCAGGCTCAGCCTCAACAGCAGAGGCGAGCGGGGCAGCAAGTTCAAGTATATTTTGTGGACCAGGCTCAGGCAGAGGAGAACCCAGGAACCATGTCTGGGATGATTATTTTAAATGATATTCATATTTTTGCATTGTTTGACACGGGAGCATCGCATTCTTTCGTGTCAAAACGATGTATAGAAGCCATAGGAGTTCAACTCCTTGACACTGTTGATCCTCTTGAGGTAAGTTTAGCCTCAGGACAGAAAATAGTGACGAGTTCTAAGGCAGAAAACCTTAGACTCAATATTGGGGGGCGAATCTTGGAGGTCGGCGCGTACGTCATCGAGATGAGGGATTTTGACCTCATACTCGGTATGGATTGGCGAACACGTTACCGTGCTCATATTTGTTTTCATGACCGAGAGGTAATTCTTTATCTTTCGGAGGAGGATCAAATTTCTTTCTACGGCTCAAAGACGCGAATGTTGCCTCGGGTAATTTCTATGGCGAAGGAAAGGAAGATTATAAGACGGGAGGATTGTCAAGGATATTTGGTGAGTATTGTTGA